CAAAAGAAGAAGATTTGCCACGGGCCCCAGGTGGTATAGTTACGCCACTGATTCTACGTATTTTTCGATTTCGGTTATCGGTATCTCGAAAACTCGATGTATATAAATAATATTTTCAATCTTTTAGGTTACCCTTATAAATAGTGAAGAAATGCAATCCATAAAGGCCACGAAACCAAGTAGGCAACCGAAGAAACAGTCTTTAAATACCGAAGCGTTTCCAGCTCTACCATCTTCTTCGGCACCCACTTCTCCACCACAATGGATTACCGTATCCAAACCGAAAGAAAAACCTAAACGTGTTCCAGAACCAGTAAAAACTTTCAATCCAGTAGCTGATTTTCCTACCCTCAACGCGAAGTCTAAAAAGAAAACTCCCACTCAACCCGTTCCGACACAAAATGACAAAAAGAAGAAGAAAAAGAAAGATATGGAACCAGTCAACGGTGTACCGGACGAATTTATAATTGCCAGTGTTAATAATAATAACAATAGCGGTGAAGGTGATAAAAAAATTAAGACAACAGTTGAACCGGATAGAAAAGTGATAGTTGATAAAAAAGAAAAAGCGACAGAATCGCGGAGCGGGGACTTTGCACTAAAGGCGCAAGAGTTTCCATCGTTAAATCCAAGAGAACCAAGTGTGAATAAAAGTGTTAAAGTGAATGTGCCGATCAGTAAAGTGGTTAGTAAAGTGAATGGAGTGCCTCCAGGATTCAAGAAGCGTCCGGCGTGTGATATGACGTTTACGAATTCGTCTGGTCAAACGTTTCCGGCGCCGGTGCACAAGTACATACCGCCTTTGGATTTTGAGAACCGAAACAGGGCTTTGGTTAAGAATTTCGCCGCTGCACTGGGTACAGCTGCGGCGGTGGAGGATTTTAAGGTAATCAAAATAATTTATTCATATAGGTAACACAATGTACACTTATGAACGTCAAAAAATAAATCTATATGAAATGCTTCTAATACATTTACTGTCAGTTCTCAACAGAGCTGCAACCATTACACCATGTTCCACATGACATCTTAAGTAATTGATAGTTATATATAGTCGAAATAACTAACATCACCGCATACACGAATTCAAGCCCGACCAGTCACCACAAGTGGCACCCGTTCACGAGTATGACATATTATTATTTACTTATTTATAAGTAATCTTACAGTTACAGTTATCTATATTATAAAATAAAAAACTTAGACAATATATAAATCCAAAGCAGATTACATTGCTAAACAGACTATATGAAATAGAAAACATAAGCCCATTAACAAGTTAATAGATAAAGAAAACTGAAATTAAACATAAAACAAACGACAACTTATTGTTTTAAAAAAAACTAAATTATTACTACTGCTAAATAAAGTCAGTCTTCCCGCTTCTAATAAAAAAATATATTGTCTTGCTCTTTGTTGAGATAGAAAATGTCTTCATCTTTATAATTTGTATTGTTGTTAGCTAAAATCCAAAATATTGGCGAATAACGCAGATAATTCGATTCGAAATACAAGGGAACAATAGTGAATATCTTTCTTAATGGATTCATTCATTCAATTGCAAAAATAGTAAATCTGATTCCGCCGAAATTCCAATTAATCTAAATTAATATTGTTGTTTTTATCTATAAAAATCCTCTACAGTGTTACAATTTGTAACGCTTTATTTATAATATTAATTCGTAGGTGAAATTACTACTCATGTTTTCTTTTTTAGGTTGCATCGAGAGCGTTCCGCGATAACATTACAACTGCCGAAGAGTTCTATGAGCATTGTAAAATAGCTTTGGGGAACAAATTGGATGATCTGCTCCCAGAATTAGTTGCCCTGTTGCCAGATATTGGTAAGCAGCAAGAAATAATCGTGGGAAAAAGTATTCCGTCTCTTGACGTTTGCTCGACTTGTGGTCAAGTTATCGCACGGGCTGATTCTATTGCTCACGATACAGCGCATTGGCCGCCATTGGCCCCTCGTTAATTTAATAATAGTCACTGACCCAATTCAGCAATTGTTTGAAATTTTGACTGATTTTCTTAGTACGAAAACCCGGTTGTTTGATGCGGTGAAAAGTAGTAAAAAAATTCTAAACAGATAATTTATTCTATAGATCACAACAGCTCTGACAATTGACTATGACGATTTGAATAATTTTCACATAGTGACATTTGTTACACGAATTTAATAATTTTAACATACAATTTAAATAGATAATACGCATACAACATATATTGCGTATTTAAATACGTATAGTTTCAAATAACTTGAACTATAACGAAGTGATTTTTTTTTAAAGTAAGCAATTTTTCTTTAATATTTCCGTATATCAATACCGATAAAAAATATTAGTTTCTAATTTCTTTCCCATGTAACTGAATTTGTCTTACACATTCTATGAATAGGAGAAGTAATTAATAGGAAGAGAATTGTGCGTCTTGGTCGAATCCCTTCTAAATCAATATGACTACAGCTCTTGCTCTCGTGAACACGTTAGAAATTCTATGTAAGCTTGTTAATACTTTTAAATATACTTGCACTAGGGTAAAAGGTAAATGTGCATAGTACTTGATTAATCAGGGATAAAACCAATACATTTTTTACAATATCAGTAATGTGAATTATCTAAATGCAGAGAATGAATAGGGGAAATTTTAAGTTATTTAAAAGGTAGCAGAAATATTTTCAAAATTTTAAGTACAGGCATGGAAAGCCATAAGAACGGCTTATATAAAATTAACAATCGTTTTTCAGTTTTGATTCAAATAGATTTAAAATTAGTGTTATAGAGCGGATGCGTTGAGAGCAGTGTTGGCCTAGTGGCTTCAGCGTGCGACTCTCACCCCTGAGGTCGCAGGTTCGATACCTGGTCGTGCAACAATGCACTTTAATTTATGTGCGCATTTAACATTCACTCAAACCGTAAAGGATCCGGCACAGGATCACCCACTTGCCTATTAGATTGACAAATGCCGAAATATAGAATAGAAATCCGAGGCCCAGACCTAAAAAGGTTGTAGCGCCACAGATTAACTTTACTTTTATTACTTAGTCGACACGACACCTAAATTACCACAATCTATGTTTTAGAAAATAATTCGTTTATTAGTTTAAGAATTAGTGATGCAACGGATACTACTTTAACGAATATCAAACCTACTTTTAAGCCAGAAAACCAATGTATTAGCAGATGGTTGGGATGTTTAAGATACGTGTCTACTTCATTTGAATTTCTTTGAAAATAAATCTCAGTATTGTTCCTTCATAACAGTTCAATTAAATAAATAAAAAAAAAGGGTGCGTGTACTTATGTACGCGCGTAAGAAGTTATACTTCTTTGGCATTATTAAAAATAGTTTGGCTTTGTTCCACCTCCAGTTTTTGATGTTTCACAGCGATAAGATGACAACTCTTTTTTTGTATTCAATTTAGTGCACTTACACTGATTCATCAATAGTTTTTTGTCTCTTGTCCTTATATTTGCTAGATTAAATCAGAAAAATTACATGTTTTGATTAAACAATGTGGTCATTTTTTTAATCAAAACATTACTCGATAATAATAATACATACGGATAGTTAACCTCAATTGTATTGAAGCACTTAGGAAGGTTGATGAGCACAGTTTTTTTCACAAATATTAATTAGTATTGGTTTAAATATTCAATTTAAATCACTTCTGATTATAATTCAAAAAGCATTGCTAAATTTCTTTGAAAAAATAATTAAAACTCCTTTATTTGTTTAAAAGGTAAATGACAAATGTCATTATGGTCATTCAAAATTCTTGGCATACGAACTTCACGCATATTCTATTTCTTTTTACTTGTAGATTGTCTTATTCCTATCTCGCTCGCGCACGCTATAATCACACTCCTAATTTTGTGTCACAGGTGCGCGCGCATTATTAAATTTCACTCTCATAAATTTTTCATAACGCGCCTAAAGAAGTATAACTTCAAAAACGAACCGGAAAATATTGAAATTGGTTCTTACAAATCCGCCTCTTTAATCATTTCTTGGCATGCTTGCCAAATTCCTCCATGTCGATGGTACAGGTTCCTCTAGCTGTCTTATCGGTCTGTCGGTGCGTTCAAGTGAACGGTGCACAGCCAAACCGTAATATGGGTTGCGTTCAGGTATAAATTAATATTCGTTGCATCAATATTCGGAATTTTATTGCTACTGGAATGTATGAATATTCTCAGTACCTGCTCAATAAAAGTAAATTTCTTTGATAAGTAAAATCTATTTTCGCCTTATGATTCAATATAAAGAGCACCTGTCAAATCAAGACTGATACAATATTACTCAGTTCCTGTATTTTAAAATACATTTAAATATTCAACAGACTTTAATACAAATTCAAATTTTCGTCGCTGTAGAATGATAACCTCGTATGTCCAGAGAACCAAAAATTACAGGAAACGAAAAAATGTTTAATTTCGTCAATGTTCGTTAAAATATTATTATGTTTTTGTCCACAGTTTTGGATGGTAAAAATGACTTATTTATGTTATTAAGTTTAATTATGAGTCTAAGAATAAAAAATAAATGGTTTTTAGACATACAAGGTTATCATTCTAGTGACGTGTAATAATGGTCAGAGGCTTTGAAAATTTTCAATTATGAACTTAAAGAAATAGTAAAATGTTATTAGTATGTGCTCGTAGGGTCAGTGACTTGTGTTCAAACTCAGATATTTATTGGAAGATTTAGGTGCTTACGCTTAAAATCTCTCCATTTCTAACATTAAGATAGTTTTGAGTTTTTTATTTTTGTTATTGTACCATATTTGTCGCTTATAACTCTTTAAGTAGAAATGTATATAAAGATCGCAGTTATAAGATGAATGTGATCGCTACAAATGTAGAATATTGTTTAAATTAACTATTTTTATAACTTTGGAACTTAATTTCGTGTTAGTTGTATTGGTATCATGAAAATGATTGACAGGATTAATAAAACGAGCAAGCATATGCATTTGTTTTAATATATTGTGACATTTACTGACCGCCCTTACCCCATCCCAGAAAACCTTTGACCAAGCCAGTGATACCAGCCCCTTGTTTTTTATTGGCGACTCCGGTTTTATCGTCCAAATTGGGGAACTCTATGAAGTTACACGCGAGGTCAAAGAAGAGCGGTTTACATGGAACAGCTTCCATTGGAGGAGGCAGTTTGTATATGTTTGGATTTTTTGTGAGAACTTGCGTGTCCTCGCGATAATCATCCAAACGATCGACCAACGGCTTCTTGTCCTTGTATGCCTTTCCTACGTACTTGTCCTCATCTTCTTCGTCTTCTAGAACTGAATCCGCATGCACTTCGAACTTGCAGCTCTCAATGTCCTTCTCCAGAACGCGTAGCTTTTCCAATATTTGCTTCTCTTGATGCTTGTTCTTGATCGAGTCTGCGGTGTAGCTGCTGCATCTCTCCAACATAGCGAGAGCTTCCCTGAAACGCCTGAGTCCAGTCAAAACTTGAGCTATGTAATAACAGCGGAATGCCTTATAGGCTTTGACTTGAGTCTCGATCTCCTGTTGGTATGCGCTATCGTTTTCGAATCCTGGTAATTGCTGGAGTTCAGTGTAGTTCTGGAGGATGATTTCGTAGAGCCTTGTCAAATCCTGAGGACGGACCTTCTTTCCATCAATTGGAGCGTTATTCTTTCTGGCTTCTTCAGCTTGTTGGATCATGAGGTTGTTCCTCTCGATAGTGCGAGCGAGACGGAGATACATCAAGTAGGAGAGAAGATAGTTGATGCTGGACATTTGGGTTTCGGAAGCGGTTTTTAGTTTGGGATCGTTCTTGATTTCGTCTTTGATGGCCGAAATGGCGTCCTTGCAATCCATTAGGATGTTCTCAAGGATGTCGATCTTGGCTTGAGCCGTGGTGGCGTTGGCGATGGATTTGTCCATGTCTTGAAGAGCTATCAGAAAGAGACGAACTTTCTCGGGACGAACGGTGACTCGTCGTCCGCGCCATTCTACTTCATGCATTACACCAGAGCGTGACTCTCTGAAATGGAGACAGGTAGTTAATGAGACCAAATTGAGTGATGATTTATTTATTATTAGGCTTGATTAAGCTGTTTTAGAAGAGTCAAGATTAGTTCAAATTACCATGAGATGGACTACTAAAAAGATGGGTATGGAAGCGTTCAAGTATTACGTAACAAATTTTGGGAGGGGGGGGTCCTTTTATAAAACGTTACGATGCGGGGCGGGGATTGAATTACGCGTTATTTTTAATATTATTTTCGACTTTCCAGTACTTAACAGTTAACACCACATTATGGTAACTTTTAAATATAAAGAGTCACTAGGTGGTCACGAAACGTTTTACAGAAAAACGTTACGGCGCGTTACATGGGGGGGTCCATAACCTCCAAAAAGCGCGTGACGTAATACTTTCCCTATTGCACTAAAGTGACTACTTTGAGACAGTGGAATAGGAGAATCTCTGTATTAGTAATTTATACCAAATTGACTGTCAACTTATACTCTGATTTTTAATTCCGTAGAATTCTGAAATCTCATAAGTGTTGATACTAAAAAGATTCTCCTCCGAAAAAGAACAAATTTGATTTGAGGGCAACAAAAAAATGCTACGTATTTTTTATGTTTTACCTACAAAAAGGTAAATCTAAATATTTACTTACCCAAGTGACCTAATACAAAAATTAACTTTAATTACTTTATTTTATTCATTAGTTGTTAAGAACCGTAAGAATTCCATAAAATTTAGCTGTAAACAATGCACATGGTGCAAGATGGTAATATACATACTTGGCTTGAGCCATGAGCGAGTCCAAGTTCTCAATAAGCCCTTGTCCACGCATCGCTAACAAATCCCCGGCTGCCGATTCGTCTCCAATGTTATATGCGCAATAACGGAGACTTGGGTTTAATTCTTCTACCTACAATTTTAATTTAGTTATTTTATTTTAAATTTAAAACTATTTTTAAAACCAAATTAGGCATTTTTTGTGGTTGGGTTGTATGCTCCTCAAATTTAATATTTAAAAAAACAATAAACATTTCAAAGTAGTTAGTACTTTACATTTGTCATATTATGAAAATTTAGTGTTTGTGGCCGGCTGTTCAAGTATTACTTAAGCAGATTCACTGCAATTCACACATCCCCTCCAACCCCCCACCTTCTGGCAAAAGTTAGTAAAGCTCCCAAAAATAATAGTACATAAACATTATTTTTTGTAGGAATCCTCGAAAAATGTATTTCGTTTTCAAGCATAGACAATGGGTGGGTAATATGTGTAAAAAAAACAATAATTATTGAATTTTTTACACATTGTTGTTGTATTCGCTGTTGACGTAATCACCAAATAAGCAAATCAAAGACCCCTATAGTGCTTACGTAATACTTGAATGGCCCCTTTTCCAATTTGATAAATAAACATAATATACTCTTACAATACCTAAATAATTATACCTTTTGCTTATAAATAATTCTTTCATCCTCTGGTAGAGCAGCACAAAGGTTCTCAAGAACTATTTGAGCTCGTTTAAGGCTCTCAGCAGCTGGTCTCCACTGTTGCAGCTCTACAAGCAATGCTCCACTTAACCATGCTGCATAGGCACCAGCCTCCAATTGCGTACGAGCATCACATACACCACTTTCCTAAAACAGACAAGTAGTTGATACTTGCTTGGAATCTGCCAAGGTTTTTCAGCTGATGTATCAATAACATGATTGAGTGCTAATACTATCAAACGATTCTATTTAAATATAAACTAGCATAGTAATTATGTGATATTGTCAGATTCCTACCTAAGGAATGTCTTATTAATTCCAAAAAATAAGAACTAACCTCACAGAGCTGCAAAAGCAGATGAGCATGCGAGCATGCTTTCTTCAAGCGAGATATAAGATGAAATTTCTTCCTTGGTTCTGTATTGGCTTCCTGTCTCAGTTGCATAGCATGAGCCCATGCCCTTTCAGCTTGTAATAAGGGCACACATAAGAGGCGATTTTCAGAATTAGATGATGTCAAATGAGTGGATGTGACATCACGTCTACGGTAATGACGTCTATCTCCCTGTAATGGTAAAGTAAAAAGTAATCAAAAAATTGTTTCACAATACTTGATTGATATAGTTTGAAGAGACGAGTATAATTTTAAGGGGTGATTTGTAGAATAGCTATAATTTTAATAGATGAAGTTCATCAACTTCTAAATAAAGGTTTATGAAATAAATTGTTTTGCTCTGTGGTTTCAACTGCATTAATTTAGTTGATTTAGTTAATGATAGGATGTTATATAGACTAAAGCCATCTTCTACCAAACATAAAAATATTTTCTTAATTCAGAAGATTAGCTCTAACATATTAAAGTATACAATGTTGAAGTAACAATTACCTGGGGTATTTTGAGAACTTTCCTTAAACGTCTTAGTCTTCTAGAGCAAAACCCTCTGTATCTCTGAAAATCTCCATGACGGAGACCATGTTGCTGTTGGGCATCTTTGATAATGCGGAATACTGTAAATTATCTTTAAGGATTTTGTTCAACTAATTTAAAATAATTGTATAAATTACTGAATTTATATTAAACTCATTTCTAATTCAATGTTCCTGTTAACAAGTAGTCTGAACAAGTGTTACCTTAAATTTATATAAGAATAATATAACAAATGTTTTGAATCAAATTAAGATTATACAGCTTATACAGCTGTTTCAGCAACGCTGAATAAAGGGTATATAAACCATTTAAAGTTTTATTTATAGAATGTTAACAAATGCAAGAGCGAAATAATGATATCTTTTTTAGAAATGGTAGTTTAATTGTGAATAATAAAAGGATACTTTCTAACGAAAGTGGATTGGTTATCTTCGGTTCTGACTTTTCAACATCTTCGGGTGTCATAGTTGCTGCATCTCCATCACCTTCCAAAACTACCATCTTGGAAATCGTATAAACCCAGCACTTCGTAATAAGAAAAAGTTAATCAAACGGTATTTGAACGCTTTTCATCTCAGAAACTTGAAAAATTTATAGTATCATGGGAGCGAAATCCTATATACCTACAAAAAGTCTACACGTCGATATCAAACTCAATCATGACGTTGAAGGTGACATTTTAATTTTATACCACAGAAAACATAACTTAACTGATTATTTATTTACCGGAAAATTCTTCTGGGTTCAGTTAATTCATATTTATCATTCTAGAGATTGAAGGCGTTGTTTGTATATATTGACAAAGTTAAAAGTGACCTGTTTATGCTTTAAAGTGAAACAATTACAATTTTTAAAATGTTACAAGTTGTTACAGGCCCGTATTTTAGAACGTCAATCAAAATTCAAAATTAAAACTAGATTCAAGAGTTATCAAACTATTGACAATGACCGCTCAAGATGAGATGGTGACTAGAGATACGAATTGGAGTATGGACCTTAGAGTATGTACTCAAAAATTTTGAGTATGTTATATTAAAACATGAAGAAAGGAATACTAAATACTTTGCTATGACTATGCTATAGATAAGCCCTTGTATATAGAACCGTTATAGTGGGCATGTATGGTACGTAGTAAAAAATATAACTTTGTAGTTTGTGTCTTTATGACTTCAGTACCGTTGTATTGTATTTTGGCGAAAGGGACAAACATATTTTAATATTCGAGTATGTGAATTAATTGTTTACATAACTAATAATATGTGACTCGTGGTTGTCCTCTAAAATGGTTTGCCATTTAATTACGTGAAAATTAGCTTAAAAGTACGTGATTGTGTTAGAGAACTAATAATCAAAAGACCTTAATGTTGTATTGTGACGTGTGGTGGGAAAAAAAACAAAAAACAATCTCAAAAATATCCCGTGTTTAGCAAGAGAGCTATAAAATCTATTTATAAGTACAACTATTTACGTATACAATGTGTTATGTATAATTAAATGTTGATGAGTCATATTTTTTATACAAAGAAAATTTTTATATATTTTTTCGTCAAATTATGTTAACATTATGGGTATGTTCCGATATACACTGCGAGTACTGTATAGTGCTCCCACTGTTCAAAAATTCGTTCCGCTATGGACTGCCAGTATACAGCCGCAGCGTCCTAGGGAAATATATGACGTCACAAATCCCCGCTATACTTCTACTGCGAGCACTGGCGTTTTCGAGGTAAGGTACTCGCAGTGCTTTGATCACGTGATCAATCAAAACCACTTGAATGCCTAACGGCTGATATAACTTACAGTTTAATAACAAACATTTAAAATTCTAACTTACTTTCTTTGTTGTATTAATTCAATTGACAGTTAATATTAATATAGATTTTTTTAATGCGATAATACTCCAATAATAGTTTTTCTTGTTGAATTGAAAAACTTTGATGCACTCATTTAAAAACTGTGTCGAAAAACGAAGCTGACTAGTATACTGGACTGCGTTCCGTTTTAAATTGTAACCAGTATAGCTGGCTATAGAGAAACGGTTTCACAGTATACTAAATTGACGGTACTCTGTACAGTGGTCGCAGTGTATATCGGAACATACCCTATAATTTTTTTATTATGTTTCTATATTCAAGGGTATGTAGACAATTGACGTACAAGTTAAGACAGTTAACTCCCTTTTTTGCGAATAGTCTGTGATGTCAATGTCACCATTGTCACAACTCTTTTGAAATATTTACGTGAAATAGGTTGGTTAAGTTTACTTCGTTTATCTTAAAATATCTATGAGATCAAGTGTTTTTATTATTTCATTAACAAAATAGTGTTGTGTAAATCGTTGAATTGAAAATTTATTGATATATTTTCGTTTCAGTGTTGATATTTCATCGAAATGGCAAAGTCTAAGAACCACACAAACCATAACCAAAGTAAGTAAATATTAATCGCAATGCAAAGTAATAAAATATAATTTGTAGTACTACGATATCTCATTCTTAAATTGCTTATTTTCAGACCGCAAGGCCCACAGAAATGGTATTACGAAACCTACTAAGTTCAGGCACGAATCGACTCTCGGTGTAAGTTGTTTACATCATTTTTTACATTACTACTATGAACTATCTAACCCATGGGAGATATATATATATATTCTCTAAATGATAGTGGATTGTGTTTGTACTATTGCAGTAAAGTCACCCTCACTTAGTAAATCTCCAGGTAGGATTGTTAAAAGTAACATACTTTGTCAAAATAAAGTAAAGACTGTTTAAAGTCTGCAGACTTTAAACAGCTAGATATTTTCCCTTAATCTAAACCAACTTTTTATTAAGAAAAAACAACTTTATTTTATAATATTGTTGAAACATACTAAACTAAATAAATTATATTGTAGTGAAATGAAATAGTTAATTCCTAGGCTAATTGCAGGCAATGCTTGCAAATGCAAATTTCTGAATATACTATGGGTTTGGTCCCATTAGAATATTTTGTAAAATTTTCTTCATTTATAAAAGAATTAATAAACAGCTAATAACATATTTTTTTCAGTCAACCAGTTGTAAGATAAGAAGTTTTTAATACCTCACTGCAATAATCAAAAAAAGTTTATTGTTATGTCAAAGTCATTTATTCATATAGGTAACACAGTTTACATTTATGAATGTCAAAAATGAAAATATATATATATGAAATGCTTCTAATTTTACATTTACTGCCAGTTCTCAAATTAAGAGCGTAGAATGTAAGAGAACTGGCAAAAAACTCTCCGCCACTCTTTTTAATCTCCAAGTTTTTTGTTTTACACTACTGACTTTGTTTATTTGAAAAGTAATTACTAAATTATTGTTTTTTTGTGTTTTTTTAGATGGATCCTAAATTCTTAAGAAATCAAAGGTTCTGCAAAAAGGGAAACTTGAAGCCTGCCAAACAAGTAGCACGTGCTGCTGAAAGAAAAGCTAAAAGAGAAGCCAAGTCAAAAAAATGAATTAGATTTTAAGAAAATAAAATATAAAAATTGTTTTGTTTTTTTGCATATGAATAACAATGCTTGTTTAGTCTGCTGGCACAACAACCCAAGCTGTATTTATAAGTCATCATATAACATAAAACTTTACTTTACAAGTACCAATATATAGATAACACTATTTTGATCTTGAAATATATTGTATTTTTCTTAATCTATCTATATTCTATAACATAAGAAACATATACAATTATGATTATCAGCTGGCATAAACTGGTACTTCATAGCACAAGACTAACAAAAATCTTTGGAGGAGGCCTTTAGCAAAACCGGAATTACTGTTAATTCATAAATACAAACAATCTAAGCTAACCTAAAAAAAAGGGAGCGTGTACTTATATACGCGCGTAAGAAGTTATACTTCTTTGGCTTTCTTTATTTTTTAAGAATATTTTACGTTAATAATTCATTAATATTTAATATATTATTCAATTAATAATAATTATTATATTATTCATTCAATTTAATAACTAGGTATGTTTCATAACCCTTTAACTAAGTAACAATAGGTCTTTGTGAAAAAGCATTGCTAAATTTCTTTCAAAAAATAATTAAAACTCCTTTATTTGCTTAAAAGGTACTACAAAAATGGGTGGTATATACTGTTGTGATGTGGGGTGTAAAAATTCCCAATCTCGGAATCGTGGACAATTTGGCCTTGGTTAGACACGAGCGACTTCTGAAAAAGAAGTCGCTCGTGTCTACCTTCTGTTCCACAAGAACTGGAAATGATAGATGAAAAACGATGAAATAGAAAATGACTAAATAAATAAAAATTTATTATCGGTTCAATATTTCAGAACAATACTTATTCCTTCCTTCACTATACATTTTTCTTTGATCTTTCTATTTAAAGAAATATATACAAGTTGCTGAAAATATATTTGTTTAGATTTTTATTTATACTGATTTACTTTCACGTGGTACATTCGATAACCTACTCTTTCGATTTCCAAAGATGATTCGTTCTCCACCATTATGGATTTCGAAGACCTCTAGAACATGATGGCTTTAGAATAGTTTGTGCCCTATTACTTAGATTAATTACATCCTGTTATTAGTAATACGATGATCTAACAAATAAAAAAATACGCAGTAAAAATTACATTCAATGAATTTAATAGAATATTTCATGGTTCGGGTATTTACTTACCTTTCGACACAAATGCCGCGGAAAAAGCCTGCTTATATATTCTGAAATCCACACATAATAATAGTTTGGCTCATAATATTGATTGAATATTTTTTTAATTGTGTTAAAATAAAGTTGCCGCCGTTAACCGACCGATGGCGTTGCCGAAGCTTCGCCACGAGGCACGATATCCAAGATTCCAAGACTATAAACGAAATAATATATTGTGCGTGCAAAATATTATACATTTTATGGGGGAATACTCGTGTTATACGAGGATTTGAAATCGCTTAAGATAAAAATGCTTTATAAGAGTACCGTGATATAAAGTAGTTTTACTGAAAAAATTAACAGCGTTCCGACATCAACCTAGTACCAATGAAAACCTATTTTTATTCGAAGCCCGAAGGCCCAAGCTTAAATCACAGACTAGAGAGTTCTTTAAAATATGATAGTAGTAAATAGCATCTAGCTATAGAATCGGGGAAGTACCGACTATAATGTAATATCTTGTTACGCTTGCGGCTCGCTAAACTTGAGGATTTTCCCCCCAAATTTTAGGGAGAGTCAAGGTGTCCAGGGGGGATTATAAAACACGGGCATTGTACACGTTATACTTATGTATTATGTCATTTATAATGATTTCGTTCATAATATAGTTTTTTATAGTAAGTATTCGATATAATCCCCTTTGACGAAAAAAGTTAAACGTGATTATTTGTACATAACACGTATATCATACAAGCGCGATATGCGAAAATACTCTTACAACGCGTTTCCTATAACGCGGCACCAATCTACTATCATTACTGTAGTTTATAAAAGATTTTTTTTGACAAACTAAATCAAATATAAACTCCAAACAAAGCTTTAACTAAATAATAAAAGCTATAGGTACTCCAAGATCAAAATAATAGCTATTTTATACTTCTTGAATGTATTTTTAATGCTTAATTTAAATTACCGATCGAGTGTACAAAGCTTTAGGTCTTTTTAATCGATACATATATTATATAAAGTTGCTCCCAGGGGGAATATTCGGTAGGAGTTGGCATCACATAATTTTTTATTTTATTAAGTGTTAGAATTAGATAAGAACAGTTCGTATTTGTATTAATATGTATTACATTGACTTATCAGTAAGTTTCGACTAAAGTTCAGAGTTGTTTTCTATCATAAAACTTTGTTATAGAGTTGAGATTTCTCTGTTCAATTTGAATTAGGTATTTGCAATATATAAAATATTATTAAACATTGAAGCCTGAAGGGTGACGTGGAGGTATCTCGATTTGGTACGGTAAGTACGAATTAATGTTGTCTGCAGCTGTAATACAACAAAACATTACACTAATGATTAATTTGTATAAATTACTAGAATCATGAGGTAAATACTTTATAATTACCTAATCTACCTAAATTATTGGTTTACTATAAATTAATTAGTCTGCTTGTTCTTTTTATTATTTAGTTTTTGTCTTGTGATGCACTTGCTTGACGGGAAGATACTTTTTTAGTTGTCTTTATAAATACGTTTCTTTAAGTGTCTTTTTTTTATAGCTATTAATTACTTGGTTATTTTGAAGACTTAATATGGAGGCACCAGAATGTCCAGTTTGCATTCAACCCATGACGGTACCAATATTTCAGTGCCAATCAGGGCACAGTTTATGCAATTCTTGCACTGTTAAATTGAGTCCACCCATTTGCCCCATATGTCGGCAGACAATGACTCAAATGAGGAACTGGCAGCTTGAAGATTTGGTGGGCAAGGTAAGTAAACTGATCAATTCATATAAGTAAAGTTGAATAATGTATTAGCATATCCAAAGTAGCTGATGAAATATGTCTTAAGTTATTTTTAATTTAGCTTTTTACTATAGAACTTTTTTTGTTTTCTCTATATATTGTTATGGTATTTTTGTTATATTCCAGGCTATTGTTGCATGTCCTAATAAAAATAAGGGATGTGTTTATAAATATGTGTCTAAAGAAATGGAAGATCATGTTAAGGAATGTATATTTAGGGAAATGGACTGTCCTATGGGCAAAGTATTTGGTACATGTTCTTGGTCAGGTAAGTTTATAAATTCCTAGCTAATGGAGTCATGATTTTTTAATAAAGCTTTTTTTTTTTCATTGGGACAAAGATTTAGATTTGATTGAACTATTGACATCTTAATATGTAGTATATTTTAGCCTTCAATTACATGGGTTTTTTACTTGGAGCCCTATGAATGACAATCTTTATCTATTTAAAGGTGAAATATTCATTGATGCCATAGCTTCTAAAACTTCTTTTATCATATCAAATGTATATATATTTTAGATTTCTTTAGTCATATAAAATCTAACCCTAACTTTGAGACAGTTGTGTATTTTAGAAATTTAAAATGTGTTGCATTTTCAGGAAAGCTTAAGGAAATGCTAAATCATTTTAAGGAACGCCATCCTGGTAACTGTGCCAATATCACCTCAGATGTCACAATTGATAATATCTCTGTGACTAATGATTGTCGTCACTTTTATCTCCTGCAGTTTAACAAGCAAATCTTCTATCTTTCTTTCAAGATAGATACAGTCCAAAAGCTTGGATATTGGTTAGTCCAATATGTGGGCACTAAGAAGGCTGCTCGACAAAATGTTTATGAGATTCAAATGAACAGTAAACAACACCAAAAGCGACAAGTCACATATATAGATTACTGTTTTAGTGATTCTATGGAGGCCAATGAAGTGTTCCGGCAAGCACAGTGTGCTGTAATGCCTTTAATTATGATGGGTCACTTCATAGATAACTCAAAGATCACTTTTCGTTGTTTAATTAAGCGTGCATTTGAAGGGAAACCTGCCTCCAAAAATAATGATCAGTCTAAGGATTCAACAAGTGGCCAGAAAAAAGGGCCACCCCATCCCAATAGACATAAGAGTCCTGGGCCCCATGTTTCAAGGGCAAAAGGTTCTGGTACCAACAACACCCAATCTGTGGGACCAAAACCTGGACCTTTTAAAAAACAGCAAGCACACTTTAATAAGAAATAATTTGTCATGTATATACATATAATTATTTGAATATATAATTCAGGTATTTGAGATATTTTTTGTAAACGTTTAATGTACGTATTTTTAAGTTTAAGTTTAACTGCACTCTTTACATAATATTTGTAATAACAATTATTTAACGTGAAAGTAGTAATCGGCTATCTATGGTAACTTTGTATTTTTAGAATTAATAAATGATGACAATTAATAAACGACGTGCTGTGGACGTGTATGTTCTTTGAATTAAATATTTTTTTATCCTAGTTTTAATCTATTATCCTAATGAGATAAATATACGACTATGTCTATTTCAATGCTAAAATTCTAATATACAGATTATAGGTATTTAATGACAGGTGAATGTGCCTATATAATTTATTTGTTTAAAAAATATTACTGGATCAACTACACTACAAGTTAAATAAAAATTGCGCTTTAAAATGTTAACAAATTGAATCACGGTCTTTACATTTTAGTACTAGAATGTTCATGTTACGATCTTATTGTATTATCTATGGTTTTACTGCATACCGTTGTTATATTCTGTACATTAAGCATATGAATATTGTTAAAATTAATACTTCCTGCTTTTGAGTTGCCCGAGAAATAAATCTATATACTTTAAGTTTAAAAATTAAACATATTTATAAAACATAAACGTACATATCATTTTGTGGAACGTTTGAATAATAAAGTCAACGTTGTTGTGAGTTGTGACGTTTTATGAAAGTAGTATAACATTAGATATTCATCCCCAGATATATTTATACCTGTAGCGACACCTACAATTTCCGCAAAATTCAGTATGATGACATCATAGTTCATGCCACGAAACACGCTTACAAAGTTACTCCGACCACTATGGACATATACAACTTGTCAACTGTTATTGATTACACCACTAATTCACATCCGGAGAACTACCAAGTCTATTGATCGCCAATGGGTTCATCAGATCATTGTGTGGTGAACGGCACAATGCTCCGGAGCATTGTGCCGTTCACGCGCCCTCTACGGCCTAGCTTCGCGGGCTGTCGCCGCGTGTGGCACTATAAGTTAGCAGATTGGGATGGGATGCGGTCTGTTTTTGCGTCCTACCCTTGGCTTTGATTTTCGTCGAGTACTCCAGATGCCGTCGCTGACTCTGTCGCCGAGGTGGTCTTGCAGGGTATGGAACTTTTTATTCCATTCTCTGCGGTGCCGGTCGGTGGCAAGTCCCAGCCTCGGTTTAGTCGTTCTTGCAAAGCGGCTTTGCGTCGTAACCGTGAATGCTTTAAAGCCTGGGCAGAAGCGGCGACATCCTGTGATGCGACTATCGGCGAACGTAAAAAAGCATACAATTCAGTCAGAAATCGCCAAGGCAAAGTCAAAGCATATTGCTAGATTTGGTGAGAAACAGCGAAAGAGAAGGCTGATCTTCTAGGCTGTCTCTTTGCATCGAACTCCACTTTGGTTGATCAAGGGAAGGAACCACCGTCATTATTGCGGTGTGATACTACGATGCCTGAAGTTATATTCCGGCAACGTGCTATCCCTAAAGCTTTATCTTCATTGGACATCCATAAGTCGAGTGGGCCTGATGGCATCCCCCCAATTGTGTTGGCTCCGGTCCTAACGCGCCTTTTCCGGTACCTGTACTCGCTCGGCACTGTTCTGAAGTGCTGGAAGATCGCTTCGATACATCCGATCCCTAAAAAAGGCGATCACTCTGATCCGTCCAACTATCGCCCATATCCATAACCTATTTGTTCTCCAAAATAATGAAAACCATTATTAACGGCAGCTCTTGATTCCCTTCCCAATCTTCCCTTTATAGCGGTGGAATGGAGGGCTGACATCAATTCCCTTGGACAGCTTTGGCAAAAGACCAGAAGGTTTGTGTCCCCGAAGGGAGGAAAATTTTCGCCAACTCAGACAATGTGCTCTGACGTAAGCGGTAAGCGATTATCCGTTTGAGTGACTGGAGGCTGAGGTATATACTTTTTTTAAGATTGCCGCTTCTGCCCAGGCTTAAAAGCATTCTCACTTTCGACGCAAGGCGGCCTTACAAGAGCGTTTAAACCAAGGTTGGGACTTGTCTCCGATGGGCACCTCAGAGAATGAAAAAAAAGGTAGCGTGTACTTATGTACGCGCGTAAGAGGTTATATTTCTTTGGCATTATTAAAAATAGTTTTTGACTGTATGCAAATAATTAATTACAATTAAATAATCAAAGACTGGAAAAGGAGTCATTATAGTCAATAAAGTTCAGTTTACATTTGAAAAATTAAATAAATAATCAAAGACTGGAAAAGGAGTCATTATAGTCAATAAAGTTCAGTTTACATTTGAAAAATTAAATAAATAATCAAAGACTGGAAAAGGAGTCATTGTAGTCAATAAAGTTCAGTTTACATTTGAAAAATTAAATTAATATTTATTATTATTCTCTATTAAGTTAGTGTAACATAAATTCTGTTATTATTCGAATGTTGTTTTTAAATTATGTCCAATGCCGTAACATCTTCTGTGGGCAACTTCATTCTGTTAATTTTGTGTCACGGTGCGCGCGCATCGTTAAATTTCACTCTCATCAATTTTTCATAACGCGCCTAAAGAAGTATAACTTCAATAAAAAGTTCCATACCCAGTAAGATTACCTCGGTGACTGAGCCAGAAACGGTATCTGGAGTACCTGACGAAAAGCAAATGTGGGATCCATTTACAAGAGTAGAATACAAAAAAGACCGCATTCCATCCCAATCCTCTGACTTGTATTGCCACAAACCGCGACAGCCCGCAAAGCGAGGATGGTGAAGGCGCGTAAAAAATGATTAGTCTAGTCGACAAGTTGAAAATGGTACAAAATAGAGATACTGCTCTTAAAATTATGTGCGATAGCTCATTGGATCCGGAATGACGTCTAGAAAAATGTGCTAAAAGTGTGTATTAGCACATAAAACCATGCAAAAGTTATAGACAATTAAAGATGAAAAAAAATGGCATTTAGTTTTTTTCCAATATTTAATAAACTATTAATATTTAAGAAATTTCAAATAAAGATTCTGAAAGAGGAGGAAATTTCCAATAAAAAACTCCAAGTTAAAGAACAATAGAATTGTTGATTAAAAATTTTTTTTTCTGTTACTGTATAGAGGACTGTCAATTATGATTTTTAGAAAAAAAAAATTCTTAACTAATTATTGAAATAATAGAAAATTAAAAAAAACGATTATAAACAATTAAAAATTGTTATTAAGGAAATTTTTTTTTTTAAATCATAAAATTTTTAATGTAATAAAGTTGTGTTAAATTTTTTTGAAAAATATTGATTTAATCAATTTGTTTAAAATTTTTTATCAACAAATGGCGGGAATTTTTTTTTTTGCAAATCAATAAATATCTTGTATTAATAAAAAAACTATTATATGATGATTTAGAAAAAAAAAATTTTTTTTAACAACATTACATGGATTTTTAAGTTTTGGTTTAAGTAAAAAAATTGTTATAAACAAAGTATAAATATTTTTTTAACTTTTATAGCACGATCTTGTTAAGTATGTATGTAAGAAAAGCTCTACGAAGCGAAATATTTTTACGACAATTATTTAAACATTTTTTTTCACTTACAATTAAGACGGTCGTTCGAGAAAATTTCGTTAGTTAACAATTATTTAACTTGTTGAAAAATTAACTTTTAGTAAAATTTTCAACGGGAATAAATTAATTATAGTGTTCAGAACACACCATAATTTTTTTCAAATTAATAAAAAAATATTCAATACCTTAAATAAATTAATTAATGTGCCGTACTCGCTTTTGACGCCACGCGCGAATCCTAAAAATGTCACGCGCAGACCTATTTTCAGCGTTAAATTAAAATTATAAATAATGGAGATAGAGTTCCGGGAGTAAGGAGTTTTTTATTGGAAATTTCCTCCTCTTTCAGAATGTTTATTTGAAATTTCTTAAATATTAATAGTTTATTAAATATTGGCAAAAAACTAAATGCCATTTTTTTTTCATCTTTAACTGTCTATAACTTTTGCAATTTTTTATGTGCTAATACACGCTTTTAGCACATTTTTCTAGACGTCATTCCGGATCCAATGAGCTATCGCACATAATTTTAAGAGCAGTATCTCTATTTTGTTCCATTTTCAACTTGTCGACTAGACTAGATATTAGTCGCCGTGAAATGTAGACAAATTTTAGAGACTATTATTTTCTATGATACAAACTGAATGTCCTATAGCCCGGTCATTTTAGACAATTGAAATAAAGAAAATTCCGACAAAGCCAAATCTTCGTAGAGACCTTAGGTTTTACCACAAGGAATAAAGTGTCAAAAGTCCCCATCAGTCCCATGTGAGCTTAGGGACTTATTCGGGGTCCAAGGTCAAAATTTTAGGTTTTTTGGATTTTTCTCGAAAACGGTAAGTTTTATCGAAAAGTACCTCAGAGCAAAGTTGTAGATCTTAAAATTCTCTATAAAAATGGTCTCTATAATTTTTTCTCGAAGACCCACTATTTCCCAGATATTGCGCTTGTAAGAATCACGTTCTACATAATATGCACACATTTCCTCACCACCTGTGAGGTAGTGTACTGGGCGCATTTTTTTTTAACGTGGTATCCCCGGTAGGCCTATTCCACGAACCTTTCTGACGTTATTTTCAGGAACAATAATTATTTAATAGTATGAAGATTATTGATATGGGTTACTGAGTTTGACTGTCGTTCAAACTTTTTTTTATTACTTTAATCTGACTCATACTTTTCATATTATTCAACTTCAACAATCATGTTTTCTTCAATTTCTTTTTGTTCTTCTTCTTCTCCTTCCTGTTGATAAGCGCTTAGAAATTGTTCAAATGAAGATGAATCAGTTGTCTCTTCATCAAAATCACATGAATCTTCCTCTCTTTTATTTAATTGAACATTTGAGCAAGAGACACCTTGGCAATTGGTACACGCTGGAGAACACTGCAACCCTACTTTTTTACAGCCACATTTGGCACTACAACCTTTCTTGCAATTGCAAAAAATAGTGTTAAGAAGTTTTTCTGGAGCAGGGGGCAGTAAAGTTCGAATCGGTTCCAAAGTATTATTTATCAATTTCCAACCCCAGACTTCAGGGTTCAGTTCATTGCCTTGCCATGTCTGAACTTGATAGTATACTCGAAACAAATGTTGACTAGCAGATGCCGATGTTGGAGGAAGACAAGATAGCTGTACTTGCTTTTTGTTTCGTGTATTTTTTTCAAATGTTAAATATCTGTACGTATCTATGCAATAAATTTTTTTTGGAGCTCCATAAACCGCAAGAAGAAACCGAATTCCTTAGTACAATAGTAATTAGTATTTGAGGTGAAGAAATAATTTCTGTAAATACTTTTGCGCAGTCAATCAAATCATTTTTTTTTTAAATAATTTTAATACTGAATTTTTGCCCCTTCTAAACATTTCTGACGTAGTATCGCATCCGGTCATCGCATGTAAAAATAAAATAACGTTTTGGCATTTTGGATAAGCTGATAAACTTTTAGAAGAATATATTTCTGTCCGTTGCTGCGCCTTCCCAGGTTATACTAATAATGTATACATAAAAGAGACACGAGTAGGCATTTTTGCTTGCTTGAGTACCTAAATATGTATATACGTGGCATATGTGTGCTTACTATGTAGAACATGATTCTTACAAGCGCAATATCTGGGAAATAGTGAGTCTTAGAGAAAAAATCATGTGGATCATTTTTATAGAAAATTTTAAGATCTACAACTTTGCTCTGATGTACTTTTCGATAAAACTTACCGTTTTCGAGAAAAATCCAAAAAACCTAAAATTTTGACCTTTGACCCCGAATAAGTCCCTAAGCTCACATGGGACTGATGGGGACTTTTGACACTTTATTCCTTGTGGTAAACCTAAGGTCTCTACGAAAATTTGGCTTTGTCGGAATTTTCTTTATTTGATCACTATTTTTATGTCTAAAATGACCGGGCTACTAACTCCTATCCATCGATGTAGGAAAGTCGAGCCTTCAACACTCTATTACCTGTTTATTTCAAGGATTACTTATCTGTATTCTGTAATTATTCGGTTCACTATTGCTTTGCTATTGAAATCTGTGAGACTAGGCGGTATGGTCGAAAGACTATAGCTTGCGCCATAGTCCTTTGCCTTTCCATTAGGCATAAATTAATATCATCATCATGAAGTTTGTGAGACTAGGCGCCGGCGGTATGGTCGAAAAACTATAGCCTAAGCCTGCGCCATGGGCGAAAAAAAATTGAAATCTGTGATAGTTTACGTTTTAAAAGTAAATAAATAGGTATAACATTAACAAATAACATCTTACTTAACTTAACTTTAAATAAATTTAATTTGGTTCAGTCTTTATAATCAGGAAAAAATATTTTTTTAAAACCCATTAACCACGGTAACATGGATGACACTTCTGCTCAAACATATTATGAATTTAATGCTTCTAAGGAGGACCCGTTATTTCTTAACTCTTTAATCTTTAAATACGTTAAAATCCAGGTCCTAAGAGATATTGTGTACTCTGGGTACTTAGAATCTATCGATCCACTTCAATACAGGTGAGAATAAATATAGAAAAAAATATTCAGCAATTATTAACTTATTAAAATTTATTTTGTTTTTAACACAATATGAAAGTCCTCTTGTTAAAATGTAATTAATTATTCTGCTTTCTAATTAGTACCCTGGGTATTAAAATTTTTAAAGTTTTAGCAGTAGCCGCTCATACTATTAATTCTATGTATACAAATATCACAATAAATTAATTTATTAATGAAATTTTTTTTTGGTTTTAGTGTTATATTAAATGTGTCACAGGGAGATGAATGTAAAAAAAATATTGATACCTGGACATGCTGTATTAAACATAACTGTTTTAGATGATATTGATTGTATGAAACCAAAAAATAATGAAGTCATATTAACTTCGGAGGATGTCTTAGAAAAGAAACAGAAAATGATATCATGGTTTAAGAAAAATTTATTGCCAGTAATAGAAGAAGGAGAGAATATTGTTGTTGGTAACATTTCAGTTCTACCACCATACAGTGAAAATGATATCTGCGCTTTAAATCCAATTGTTGCTACAGAAGTTAGAAAAATGATTTTAAACATGCCATAACATGAACTACAAGTATATTTAAATTAATGTGTTTATTTCTATTATTATTGCAAAAGTATAGCAACCTGATGACCTTGAGTGAAGCATAGTATATTCTGTACATATAACACAATTGTTTTCTGGAAAATTTAATAGTAAAACAGTTACAGAAAATATGCATAACTCTTCAAAAACAAAAATAATTGCATCAATGGCAAAATGTAATATTGGAATTTGAGTACAACTATAATAATAATAAAGCCCGTTTAATTTGCAATCAAGATTAAAAAAATTATATATACAGCTTAGATTTTTTTTTACATTTTATACATTATTTTTATCTGGTTATCCTATATCCTAGCTACCTTCAGTACCGTCCATCGGAAGCTGGAACAGCTTTTTCCAACTGACTCTGTCTATAGCTTTCTTTCCCCATTCGCTTCGCTGCTACTGCTTCTATTTCTTCTATCCACCCTTCTTCTGTTTTTGTGGGTACAACTATTGTAACAATATTCAATTTTATTTGTTAATTCTCTTGAGATTATTTGGAATAACATAGTAGCTTCCAAAAATACCTAACACCTTCCTAAAATACCTAATACAAATTACGGAAGTTGCAAATTAAAAGAGCTCAACGGTAATGCGACGTTATGAGTCTACTTGATAGTTCTGATCACAAAGTTTGAATTGATAATGCGTGTGACGTGTGAGTCAACTAAGCCGTTTACTGCCACTGAATATCACAAAGTACAAACAGCTATTAATATTGTAACCATTGAAGATGTAGCGTCGTTTTTGTATTAAAAAATATACTGCCAACCATTACGTTTTAATTGGAAACGAGTAATATATATCGATCTCAAAATGTGTTCAGTGTCCGAGTCATCGAGTAGAAGAGTACAATATTTGGCGGGACTAAGCGGTTAGTGAAAAATAATTTATTTCTGTTTACAAGGAATATTTTGTTATGCGAATTTCCCCGTTACAGTTTCCTTTGCGTTTACATTCACTGGTGCAGTATTATCATGGCCTTCGCCAGCGATTCCAAAGTTCAAAAACGGTGAAGCAAATGTACAAATAACTGACGTGAGTGTTAATGACAATTAATTATTAAAAATACATTGTTGGTTTTATTTATAATAATTAACACAAATCTATGCCTAGAGCTAACAAATTATTCGAATATTAAAATGAATTCTTAATATTTAAAATTATTAAGAATTATTAAATCAAAAATGTTTGTTTACTTGATTAAAAAAATGTTTTGTGTAAATTTAATAGGAACAAAGCTCTTGGGTCGTTGCTCTATGCCCTCTTGGTGCGTTACTCGGCTGCTATTTTGGGCAAGTTTTGAATGAGAAAGTTGGTCGACGCCGTACAATTCTCGCTTCAGTACTGCCGGGATTAATAGGTGCGGTATGTTATTCCTTATCTAACGTGTCTGGCAAAGATATTATTAGCTTCATAGGTATTACACCTATAATATGTTTTTGATAAAGTTTATGTTTGAATTATCGCATATACATTAGTCCGTCAATATTTTATGTAGATACATAAATATTAATGAATAATCGTTGTAAAGAAGTATGTTAAAGATCTATTTTCTCTATTCTAAATGCTGTTATTTAAAAAATATCTAATCGAAACAGTTATCTAATATATAAAATTCTCGTGTTACAATGTTCGTTCCCATACTCCTCCGAAACGGCTCGATCGATTCTTATTTTTTTATGCATATTCAGTAAGTCTGAGAATCGGCTACTATCTATCTTTCAAACCCCGAAATGTTAAGGGTGGTCCGCCCCAATTTTTTTTTGTGATACAGCATACAAAAATTACAACCCTTAATTTTCACCCATCCACGATCAACCCCTTTAGTATAGTAGATAGTTATTTTTGTTGAACTAAATAAATGTTTCCTAGAAATAATATACATGGCAAAACTACGTCAGCTAGTTTTTAGCTAAGCGAGTTTTAAAATTGATAATCTCAGGAACTGCTGGTTTAAATTGAAAATTGTGTTCCATTCATCAAGGAAGGTCTGTGGAGAAGAAAGCGTAGCGGTTATGCGAACTAATATAATTTTCTCTCAAAAATTCTGTTTTAAGTTTTCCATATTAAGAGTCAAAATGAACCTTCGAACTATAATAGTGTTCGCTTACACACGGTTGACTAGAAACAAACATCTCTTTTACACGCCTGTCTCACGATAATGCTTATCGTTTAATGGTCCTGTTAACAGATTGTGTCCGATTTACAATAAAACTGTGATGTACAATGACTCGATGGAAACCTTTCGCCTTGTCGTTTGAGATATTTATTTATTTATATTTATTTACACTTCGTTGCAAAAAACAAAGAATGAAACACAATACAAAAAAATTATAAGGGATGCAACGGGCGGCCTTATAGCTAATAAGCGATGCTGTTTTGATCAATTGCTTATTTTCTTTATTCTAACATAATGATGTATTACAGTGTATAGTTACAATGTATATTCGCGGATGCTTGGCGTACCCAAGCATCTTTTTAAAACAGCCCCTTACTCGTGAGTTGAGTGCTGTGATATTGCGGGCTACTCGATTGCGAGGAAGTTGCATGGATTATTTTCACACATGTATATCCTCCTTGTAACATATGTGATGTTTGAGAGCAAAAAAATAAATTAAAAAGTGCGTGCGTACAAAGTACACTTGTAAGAAGTGAAACTTCTTTGGCAAACTAATTTTGAAGTCTTGTTCATATTTATACAAATCTAAAACAAAAAATGAAGCTATGTTAGGAATTTAATGAATTTAATTGTTATTAAAATATTAAGCGTCGAAAATTAATACAATTTATAAATTTATTTCTTCGATGATAAAAACACGTGGCATTTTAATTTACAATTCGTCATTTAAGATTTCAATAAATTATTTTGCATAAAATATAAAATACTAATATTTCATATATTCTCTTTACGAAATTTTAATTTTAAAAATATAATTTCTATAAGATAATTCGCCCTTCTCTCTCAATCGGTCTCAATCGCTCTCTCCCTTTTCTTCGAAAAAAACACTGCACATCTTCGTGACGCTAATATTATTATTGCGTTTCATCCGTTAAAAAATTACCCTCATGCGCCTCTAGAAGTTTCCCATCAAAAAAAATATTGAAGCGACTGCTACGACCACAAATTTATGCCGGTTCTCTTTCCGCACAGACTCTTCTTAGCCATTTTGAATACAACATTTACATACACACAAATTAACACGGCGTAAATCGTGAAGCTTAGTAATCTGTAAACAGTGTGAGGTGTTCTAGTTCCACTGTTTATACTAAAATTTCAATTAAATATTCAACATTTACATTTCATTTCCATAAACAAAGCAACGTGTAGTTGAAAGTTATCAATTCAATATCAATCACGACTTCTTCAAGACGGCTACTTCATAATGGCAGACAAAAATATTCGCAATTTAAAGAGCTACCGTTACCAGAGCTGTAAATTTTAAATGGTATACGACCCTAAGGGATTTTTTTATTTTTTTAGCTCTTAATCTTGTTTACAAAGACGCCATGGCTTATGTGCGTCGCGAGAAGTATTATTGGTGTGGGAAATGGTATTACTGCTGTGGTAAGTACAACAATAGATATTATATTATTCTCCTTACATCTGCTGGCTTAAAATAAATAAATTAGTGCAACCTTTTTAGGTCTGGGCCTCAGGTTTCTGTATCTGTTTCACGGTCATTAGTCAATCTAATAGGCAAGTAGGTGAGCCTCCTGTGCCTGACATGACGTCGACTTTTGGGTTTAAGGCAAGCCGGTTTTCTCACGATGATTTCCTTCGCCGTTTGAGCGAATGTAAAATGAGTATAGAAAGAAAGTCCATTGGTGCATAGCCGGGGCCGAACCTACGTCCTTAGGGATGAGAGTCGCACGCTGAAGCCACAAGGCCAATACCACTCTATATCACATCGGCTGGCTTACCGCGTAAAATAGCTATTCCGATTTTAAAAGTGTGTGTACCACGTTATTCCAAGTTTGCGACATGTCTTAAAGAACTACATATAGACTGAATTTGGTCGACGTTGTCCTGTGCCAATCTTTGAAATCGGCTTTGATCTTACATAACTAGGCAGCGTGTGTTTCTAAATGGTGAAACGTAATGTTAGAAATATAAATATTATCTAATGTAAGATAGGAAGAAAATTATATAAGAACAAGCTCATATATATATTATTATAATAAAGCAATATAAAAACCATGAATTTACATACAATTGAGAACATACGAATTAGGTACCTTAAAATTTGAGTCAGTGGCGAAAATGACAATCAGAGGCTGAATGTGTCTGCCCCATGACCTGGGGCTTGAGACAAAGTCCCTTTACGACAGTCGTGACAATACGCTAAGCGAATTTGTGGGAATGAAATTAGTTTACATTTTACGCTGATCACATGTCACGTGATCATTTTAATACAAATTTGTTTGGCGTAAATACAAAAAAAATATGTTTAACCATTTGCAATGTTGTCAAAAGTATTATATGGTTTTAGGTAACAATGGTATATATAACGGAAATAGCTGACAAAGAAATCCGCGGTGCTCTGGGAATGTTGGTTCAAGTAATGATGAACATTGGCGGCTTATTAGTCTATGGTATTGGACCTTTTGTGTCCTATACGGCACTTAACTCTATAGTATTATCTATTGTTATCCTATATGGAATTGCGTGTTTATGGGTTCCCGAATCCCCGTACTACCATTTGAAAGACGGAAGGCTGGCGCTTGCAAAAAAGGAGTTTATGTTCATTAAAGGCACGAAGGATGATAAGGTATGTTTTTAAAATAATCATTCGCAACAGTCAATGTTTAGAGATTTTTTTATATAAACGGGCTCATTTAATGATAAGTGGAGCCATGGATTCTCACATTGTTAGAAGGCTCGCAAGTGCGTTGCCTTTTAAGAATTGTAAATAATAAATGCATCGTTTTAAACTAAAACTCTATTTTAACTAATCCTCTTTCGTCTCTTTCTGTCAAATTGTGTTATCACTTTGATGAAAAGAGACAGCTTTAGTTACAACGGAGCAAAAAGAGTTTTGTACGGTTGACAAAAATACATATTGTACTGTAGTGGGCTATCTATTGCCTTGAGATTCGTTTACAAAAATCTATTTAAAAAAAGTCAGTAGCGCTAACCTCTTTAGGTCTGGGCCTTATCTGAATCTGTTTCATGAATTTTTTTTTAAATATATGTTACACGATATAAAGTAATGAACATATCTTTATATAGTATAGTAATAGTAGTAGTAATAGTGTAAAAATTTTTTTTTGATATTTTTTTAGTGGGCAAGCGAACAGCTGGCGATAATGAGAAGTCATGTAGTTGAGAGTATGGCTAATAAAACTACAACTAAAGAGCTTTTTACTAACATGAGATATCGGAAAGCGCTCTATGTTGTGGCAGGTATTTATTTGTTTCTGTAGCATATACATATTATTTATTTTTATTCACTTTATTGGCACTTTTCACTTGCTTCTGCTGTTTTCTTTAATAATAATTAAACATTTACATTCAAATACATTTCTATGTCCGTCTTTTAGCTATGGGGCCGTTTAATTATTGCGTAAGCAGATTTACTGCAATTTATCTCCCACCCCCTTCTCTTGTCAGCAAAAGTAAGCAAAGCTTCTAAAAATAATAGTACATAAACATGTAAATTCTTTGTAGGAATCCTCGAAACTGCATTTCGTTTTCAAGCATAGACCATGTGTGGGTAATATGTGTAAAAAAGTAAATAATTACTGTTGACTCACCAAATAAGAAAATCAAAGACCCCCCTGCCCCCTATAGTGCTTACGTAATACTTGAACGTGTGGCCTTCTTTGGCAAAGGACTTCTCCAAGCCCCGCCAAATCTGTCTGCGCTGTGCCACTCTCTGCCATCTACCATCTGCTGTTAATTTGATTTATCCGTCTTTTAAATTGTCTTCCCTTTTTCGTTTATTGTACCTTGGGCACCAGTTTAGTACTTTATTGCTCCACTTTTCTGTTCCTCTTGCCATATGTGCGTTATTTCTTACTTTCTTCCTAATGGTCAAAATGTCACCTCCACCTTCTATTCCCTATTTAATGTGGAGGCTCGTTCATCCGGACTTATCTTCACGGCTCCAATTAACGAATTAGAAATGATTTGATTTGAATGAAACACGATTACGACGATTACGTCAAAGATTAAAAGCTTGATATATTCAGTAGTGGGCTGATCAATTTAGACCTTGTTAGGTGCCCGATACCTAGTCCACATTGTTAAGTGAATAAGTATTATTAGCAGATCTATGTTCGGTGGCGGTTGTTGGAGGGATGTTCAATTAAAGCCCCGTATTCATGGGAAACATTTGTTGAGCAACAAAGTTGAATCAACGTGTTGCGGAGTTGCTGTCAACATGTTGCTGGCAACACTGCGTGTTGCAGAGTTGACAGCATCATGTTGACAAGCTCTCGCCCGACAAGCGTAAACATCAGTTTAGCGACAATTGTTGACGTGTGTGGACGAGTTTGCAACAGTTTATAAACATGGCAGTAGTGTGGAGCAATGATAAAATAATGCAATTAATAGAATTATTTCAATCAAAACCATTATTATGGGATTGTTCTATAAAACAATACAAAGATAGAAACAAAAAGAACGATGCATTCGAAGAAATTTCTCAAGTCCTAAATATACCCAAAAAAGACGTAGAAACTAAAATACATGTACTGCGTACTCAATTTACTAGAGAGAAAAAAAAGATGTCGGCAAAAAAACTACAGGCAGCGGCGCAATAGAAAAATGTAAATGGATTTATTACGAGCCATTGGAATTTTTGTTATGTGGTGCAACTACTTCTGGTGAAACGGATACTATGAATAAAACAGTAAGTTGTTTTTGTATATAATTGTTTTATACTATTGTCTGTAAAATTATTACAATTACGCTACATTATTTTGCCATGGAACTCTTCCCTCTGGAGTTATAAAGTAATCGGCAAACTGTTCTCTAATACAAAGAGCTGATTGTGATGCAGGCCTGCCCCGTCTTTGCAAATCAATCATAGGAAACGAACTTAGTTCCCTTCGCCAAGAACCTTCTAATAGGTTACCTTCAGAGTCTTCAAAATCAAAAGTTTGTGGAGGTGTATATATGGATCTGGAAACTGAGTTACGTCTTAAGAAGTTATGTAAATATACACAAGCAATTACCACGAGTTCACAATTGGCTGGTTTTAACGGAATAGGTTTAGTGAATACACGGAACACCACACATAAAATGCCAAAAACATTTTCTATAATCGTCCTAGCTCTTGATAGTCTGTAATTGAATATACGCTTTTTGTTCCCACGTTCATGAATGCCAGGATATGGTTTCATGATGTTCTCCGTTAGCGCGAAAGCACTGTCACCTACAATTACATACGGCATTTCTGTTCCGCCTTGTGTTATTGGTTCAGGCCGTGGCAGTTTAAGTGAGTTTTCTAACAATGCATTATAAAACGGTGTTTCTTGAAATATTCCACTGTCGGACGACCGACCCTTAGCTCCATAATTTGCGTAAATAAAGTTGTAATTGCCATCTGCAATTGCCATAAGTACCATGCTGAACTGATTTTTATAATTGTAGTATTCACTTCCAGAATTATTTGGCGCCACAATCATAACGTGTTTCCCATCAATGGCCCCAATGCAATGTGGAAAATTCCATCGTATTTCGAATTCACGACTTATTTGTTTCCATTCTTGTTCCGAACTTGGAACCTAAAAAATAAATAAATATATAATAAGATAATAATTTACAGGTAGATGAAAACAATGCACTTGAAAGTGGTATGGAGTCAGAGCCATCTCAATCACCAAGGCCGAATGCTACAACATCTACATCTTCGAGGAAAAGAAATAAGACAGATGAATCAAATGAAATATTAGAGGTTTTGAAAAGTGCTAGAAAAAAGATGGATGAAAGGGAGAAGAAGGATCCATTTGATATATATGGTGAATATATTGCTGCTGAATTAAGAAGTGTTAAAGATGACCAAGCCGTGACACAGGCAAAGTACCATATTAATAATATACTGTATGAATTAAAAATGGGACGATATAATACATATGGATATCAAACGGCATCTTCTCATCCATCATCAACACCAAATAATGTTCAGGAAACTGAAATAAGGGAAATTGAGAGACACGAAACAAATAGACTAGATGCATTACGAGACGAAACAGAAGATTCGGCTATACTAAACTTAGTTAACTATCTCAGTGATGAATCAACGCAATAGCATACACTGTTTTTTTTGTGTTTTTTAATTAATAAAATACTTGATTACACAAATAGTGTTCTTGTACCTTGACATATCCTGCTAGTGAGTTAATTAGTTCTTGACATACATCTGGTATAATTTTGCTAATCAATTGTTTTGATACTTTGAATGTGTATGAAAGAGAACTGTATGAATCTCCAGTTGCAAGATACCGTAATGTAATAGCCAGCCTCGTTTGAGGTGAAACTGGCTGACGAATATTTGTTTCCCTTTTGGCTATTGATGGACCAATCATTTCTAGAAGATGTTCGAAATCACTTTTCGACATTCTCGTAAAGTTACAAAATGATCCATCTGTCATTCTGAGGTCACTCATCAAATTTTCTCTTTGCAAAAGATAATTTCGAATCCACCATCTTTTTCTCTTTTTTTTTATTAGAGATTCTATACATCTGATACAGAGAACACAACAACACTACCTCCTCGGGCAACATTTTAACGCAGACTGGCGTGTGGACAACCTGTATTGATTTAAACATAGTTGCTAGCAACATTCTCGCCGCTCACCAACAATGTTTAGCAACTGTTGCTAAACAAATGTTTACCATGAATACGGGGCTTAAATGAAACACTTTGTTCGAGGATAAGTGTCCACTGTCGGTTCTTAAAACTATGTGACAAATCTGTTACCTATAGGTAAAAAATAAGTGATGTCGATCTATTGGAGATTCTCGAAGTGCATGTAATGTATAAAGTGACAATTTATTTTTTGACTCAAAGCGGGACATTTGTTTAATTTAGGTTTTGTTAGCTTAAAAGTAACGAATTACAAAATAATGTTTAGTATGATTTATATTTATCAGAAGAACAAATTTGTTTTAAAATAGCTGGTGACGATTTCAAATTAGAATGAAACTCTTGGCACGATTTTTTGGCTCAAATTTTCGCGCGGTTTCTGAAAACGGGACAATTTTGCGTCCCTCAGTTCATTTCGGGGACCCCGGGTCTCGTAATTGGAAAAAGGGACAGTCCCGTTCAAAACGGGACGTCTGGTCACGTTAGTAATGTATGAAAAACTCAAGGGTTAATTTATTGTAAAACTTACGTTTTACAATTTGACAACAGCTAAAAATGATTGTAAACATTTAGTTTACGCTTTTTATTTTAACTAAGTAATATATAGTATGTAACTTAAGTAACGTTAGGTTGCATAACTTTAGTAAAACTGAAATTTGTAGTTATAAGCGTACAATGTCGATCTGAACCAACGCCGCTATTCTCGAAATGAAACTCAAAGTGGAGTTGTAAAAGTTCCGTTTATTGGTCGAACGTTAGTGATGGTGACACAAAATAATACAGCAAAGCGAGCTTATAACTAACGTCCGTCCGGCACGGCTGCGTAAATCTATCTAAAGCTATACAAATAATAACTTAAAACTAAACCTAAACTACCACGCTGGTAAAAGGGACCGACCGACCCTTCCGCTACCTGCGCACCCGCCGACCGTTTCCAAGAACAACATCTGGCTGGCAGCTTCGTTTGTCAGCTTTCTAAATTGTATTGTTCGTTGTCCCTAACAGTAGTATTTGTAATTTTTTGTAAAATTCATGTTCATCGTAATTGTGTGTTTTAGAATAGATAGTAAGTTATACTTTAGAAAATGCATTATCTATGATGTGGTGTACTTTAATAAATAAATAATTACGAAAGACTATTTGAATTAGAAGAATTAGAAATTTTAGATTACATATTTTCCTCGATTTTTTTAAATATCGTATTGTCTAAATGATATGAAAAAATCATTCATATCACTAAAAAATAGCTTTTTATTTGAATTTGTGTTCATAATGTTGTTTTTCCTTAATTTTGTACAGGTTTAAAGGTTCTTCAATACATGACGGGTACATGTGCGATACAGGCATATTTAGAGCCAATTTTTAGCCAGAGTAGTTCCGTTTCCGGTCCCTACGTAAGCATTGTCTATGGCTTCGTTCAACTTGCCGCTGGTAAGTTACAAAACCTAACATAAGCTTCACCAGGTATCGTAATGAATCTATTTCATAATTTATTATGTAATAATAAATTATGATTTGATTGATTATTATTATTATATTATTATTATTATTTTTAAAGGTTGCTATAAATTGATTGCCTCACAAGGTCAAATATTTAAATATCTTTTTGTATACGCAAAAATAGAATTTTCATATTTGGTCAAAGTATGCAGGAGAGAGCTCGCGCTCGTATTCTGTAAGTAAAGGTCGTAACTCGTAAGCGTTTTTTCTTCGTAAATATCTAGATTTGTAAATATAAATAAATTAAGACATTGTCTTTTAAAATATTAGTTTTTATTCATATATACCGGCGAAAGAAAGTCACGCTTTAGCTAATACGGCAGATAATTTAATCGTTAAAATGTAAATGGATTGTTTGGCTTAGAAGTTTCGAGAATAATATAATTTAATAAATAACTAGTCATGTTTCGTGTATATAACATTCAATTTGCCTAATATAAAATATTACAACTCGTATCTTACATCACAATTTGATCTTACTATCACACTACAGTGTCTATCGAAAGTCCACTCGTTTACCAAATTGTAATTTTTTTTCGGTCCCTTGAAAAATACTCGAATAATTTAATAAAATAAATGTTAATTGGTTCCCTCTGTAATTTGATAGTATCTTGCTTGCCATAATTTCATGCCTTCCCTACTCTCTATAATTTTTGGTATTTATCATGCACAGAGCTGTCTCTTGTTTACATCAATGAGATATGGGTAAGTTCGCATTCCAGTCTCCTTACAGAAGTTAATAAGTCTTGTTATTGTTTGATGACATCATGACAAGGATAGACTAAATCGCTCACTCAAAAAAGATTAGGACTTCTTTTAGAAATAAAAATTTGTGAATTTAATTTCTAATACATAATAATAATATAGAAATAATAAATAAAGAATGTTGATCAAACTCTTTTATTTAAACGCAAAATTTTTAACTTAATCTCTGGTCCCTTGGGTTTCAAATTATCGGGAGGCGACTGTATCAAAAGAGACATCTCGAACAGAAAAAACTAGATTTAATTTGACATTCCAGAATTCAGTACCAATCTTTTTAAAATTTTGCGTCAAAGAATGCAAATGTTAAACATTAAATGAGTACCCAATTGAATATTTCATAAAATTAATTGAAGTGTAGGCATATTAATAATTCTAAATAATTCAATTTCAAACAAGACATATTTCCTCTTAATATCACAAACAATAAAGTTTATTGTTTCCTAGTTGTCTTATCTAAATAATACTTCGGTAAATATTGATTCATGCGGCGTCTATAGCTGTAATTTCAACATAAAAGAATGATTGCCGTCTTACCGTTAATTTTTTTTATTTAGAATAACAGTCGTAATTACTACGAGTCGTTTTAAACGACTTTGTGACGAAAAAAATAAAAAAAATAGACGAGATTTATAAAGTGTAGCCTCTGCATTATTATTATTACGACTCGTTGCAATTACGACTGGTCTTTAATGGTCTTTTCTGGTGAAGGTGTTAAAGAAAAAAAAATATATTACAGGTATTACCGCAACATTTCTCACAGCCTGTGTAGGACGACGTGTATTAATGTTGACATCTTCGATCGGTGTTGCCATATCACTAACAGCGGTTGGCATATATTTTTTCCTTCAAGATTACTATCAGTTGAGCGCTCAAACGCTTTCATCACTATCTGCAATCCCTCTCGTAGGCGTTTTGGGATTTAATATTCTATATAGTATTGGTTTAGGAAATCTACCTTATATAATGCAAGCGGAATTATTTCCCATTAATGTTAAAACTGTAGCGTCCAGCTTGGCGACCATGATGGCCGCAATATTAAACTTCTTCGTGACGAAGTCGTACCAGGGTATAAAAGACTTTTTTGGACATTATACAGTGTTCTGGTCGTTCGCGAGTATCGCGTATTTTGGTATATTTTTTATATATTTCTTTGTACCGGAAACGAAGGGAAAGACGTTGGAAGAGGTTCAAGATAATTTGAATGTCGAGGCTGTTGAAATGGAGCAGTTGAATAAAGAGAAACAGAAGGAATAATGTTTTCTTCAGTATAGCTAAATTCACTTTTACGCACGCGTAAATCGTTGGAAGTAGCGAGCGTTTTTGCAGTTGTAGAAATGATTACCTCTTTTTTTTTAATATACAAAATACGTCTTCTAGTAGGTAATTTCTAAACAATTATTGTTTATTAAATAATATTAACCGGTAATTGTTGAGAGCGAATTAGTGTGTGAGTGCGAGAGAAAACACTGTCGAATCTTGATACTCTTCTCTTACTCAAAAGGCACAAACCTAGGGCGCCTTACGCCTTCAACACACATTAATTTTAAGTATATTTTTGTACATATTCTTTTGTATGAAATTATTGTTTCATTAAAATTCTATTACGAAAATGTGTTTATTTTTTTATCTCCTTATCATATATTTATTAGCATACTAATTAAATGTAAAGTTTGTCATGGCCGTAGACGTAGACCTTACAATATCTAATGTTGGTAAGGCCTTGTGTTAAATGGCAAATATAATGAATTCAGCGTCTCAAGGTCAAAATGTAAGTATAAACGATATTTATATAATATACAAAAAATAAAGAAGCCAGGTTGTTTTCGCACCACAAATCTTTATGGGTTAAAGGGCGCTTTATATTAGTGGCCACACAATTTCCTGTCTTCGGAAAGCCTCTGGGCCTGGGTGATGGTAAAACCTGTATCGGCCTTTAATTGATCGGTCCGAGTAGGGCATCGGCACCCAGTCACAAAATGCTTTTCTAAATTTTCTGGATCTCGCATGTTACAGAGCAGATTTGGCCTAGTGGCATGCGACTCTCATCCCTGAGGTCGTAGGTTCGATCCCCGGCTGTACACCAATGGACTTTCTTTCTATGTGCGCATTTAACACTTGCTCAAACGGTGAAGGAAAACATCGTGAGGAAACCGACATGTCTTAGACCCAAAAAATCAACGGCGTGCGTCAAAACAGAAGGCTGATCACCTTCTTGCCTCCTAGATTACCAAATGATCATGAAACAGATTCAGAAATCTGAGGCCAAGACCTAAAGAGGTTGTAGCGCCACTGATTTATTTTTTCTCGCATGTTACATGCCAAAAAAATCGTTTCTTAAGGAGTAAACTCCAAAAAAAACTCAGGATCCGCGAGTTATTGTATCGTCTTAGTACAGAAATTTCTTAAATATGTATGTCCATATAAAATCAAATAAAAAAACATTTGTGACGAAATTATTTATTGGCCAATACAAATCTGTAATACAGAACTATTAAATAATATAATAGCAGGTCTAACAAAATTCCCGTGTATTTAACGATACACAAAAACTAATTATTCCCACAATTTTATTAAATCCTCTTGGAGTTTCCATACGAGTACAAAGGAGCGAAGGGTGTGTCTGCCGGTTCGTCCCCACTTTCTTCTGAGGCATCAGACTCAAACGTATTGTCCGGAATGTCGTATAAACGAATGAGTGGCTTGTTAGGGTCCTTCATAATAAGGTATTTACCTGAAAAAATACAAATGACTATTTGAACAGCTCTTCACATAAAAGAGAAATAATGTACTTTAAAATTGTTATAACAAGTTTACTATATTTACATATATTTTTTACTACGGCGCGTTACACGGGGGAGGGGGGAAAAGGGGGCATGTCCCCCAAAAATTGCGTGACGTAATACTTGAACTCTCCCTTACGTAGAAAGCTTAATATTTTAATCTGCATCGACGTCCACTAATTACGGTTTATCAAACATAAAAAATGTCGTAGACTCACCATCCTTCTGCTTCATACAAATATCGATGATGCATCGAAGTATTCCCCACGCGTTGTCCATAGACAAGTTAATTTGCGCGGCAAACTCGTGCGGCTTGAATTGCTGCGTGCCGAGTATCACGTGACGCGAGTTGTCACGCACTTGCACACGTGACACGTATCCGAATTTAATCTGGTCCGAACCAGCTAAAAGAGCCTGTAATTTTTAATACTTTTTATTACATATGATCTAGAGAGCTTCATATCATCTACATATATTTGTGATAAAATTGAAATACAGATATGAAACACAAATATCTCATCATCTATAAATATAAGACAACCAAATGACAGCTTTTTATTTCTTAAAACACAAAAGACATCAAATATTTCCCAGTTTTTATTGGAAAATTTCTTTGCCGTAAGTATTTTTTCTTTAATCATTATTTATAATTACCACCAACTAAACCTTCCCTGAACTTCCATAAATATTTCGAGATCATTATTAGCCAAATCGGTTCGGCCATTTTAGAGTTTTAGCAAGACGAACTAACAGCAATTTTATATATAGATTTAAAATGAGATTATTCAAAAACTTTTAAATTTATTTCAAAATTAAAAAAAATCACATAAAATCAGAAATCTTCAAAAGGCGAGACTAGACAAGCAAAATATCTCCACTTGTCAGTCAATACAGTTAGTTTCATACAAGTTGTTTGTGAAGACAAAATGCTGTTGACTTGCTCACTTCATTTGTAATAAGTACTTATTTAATTACAGATCCCCAGGGTTTTTGATTTTAAGCTTTTTGCCTCTTTCTCTCAAATTATGTTTACAATGTGATGATAAGGGACAGATTAGTACTTAAGTTAAAATGTTTTTTAATGATCATTATTTTCATCATAGTTTAACTGCTAATGGTACCTTTGCCTAATAACAATTAAAATAACATTTCAACAACTATAATAGTAACTTAAACGAAAAGTTAATAACAAAAAAGAAATTATATATTATTGACAGACACAGAGTAACCAAACAAAGATTATATAAAACCGATTTCAAAACGAAGGAAAAAGTTTAAAATTCAATATGTATTTTTTACCTGAACGGTCCACTTGGCAAGCTTGCACGAGTTATTCCTCAACTCGTTGGCCAGGACAGCACCCCGCTGTGTGTCCAATTTCTGCCTCCACTCCACACCGTTGGCCAACTTAGAGTCCCACTCGTTCAATGCCTTGATGGTCAAGAATTGGGTTTCGCCTTGAGGACCTTGAAGCACTGCATCGTGTTCGCAACGAGCTACTAATACCTGTTAAATTCACAATTTAAATAATATAGGAATTAAAAACTGAAATTATCCCTGCACTGTATTTGTATAAAAATAAATCAGTGGCGCTACAACCTCTTTAGGTCTGGGCCTCAGATTTCTGAACCTGTTTCATGATAATTTTTAAATCTAATAGGCAAGTAGGTGATCAGCCTCCAATGCCTGACACACGCCGTCGACTTTTTGGGTCTAAGACATGTCGGTTTCCTCACGATGTTTTCCTTCACCGTTCGAGCGAATGTTAAATGCGCACATAAAAATAAAGTCCATTGGTGCACAGCCGGGGATCGAACCTACGACCTCTGGGATGAGAGTCACACTTTTTTTAAGATGTAAATTAACAAAGATTTATTTGATTGTATTATTTATAAGAATAAATATTGCATATTAAGTAAAATAACACTTACAACACCATTGTTCAAGTTCCACTTCCGATAGCGGTACCCCACAGATGCCACTTCGCCTTCCTCTTCTTCAGACACAAATGGATTAGATTCAGGGAATTTGTATTTTGGCTCAGTAGGACCGGATTTCAGCACCTGTAATTATTAAATTTCTTATTTCAAATATATATAATTATTGAAGTTTTATCTGCGGTGCACATTGTAACTTGATTACTATTTTTAACTGACTTTAGAAAAGGAGGTCATCAGATTTTGTGATATTGTTGGATTATGCTATTCAAGTAGGAGTATCTTTTTAGGATTTCAAACATGTACGCTAATTTAATTGTAAGTTTATGTATATGTATATAATATATACATACATTTACAGTGGTAGTCATATAATTAGAAACACTTATGAATAAAGAAAGTATAACTTTAATGTACAAATGTAGCGTATATCAAGATAAGATAGATATTTAACCAGAAAGAAAATCTCTTCTGCTGTATTGTTAAAAAGAAAGTCTTAAACAAATATAACACCAGTCCAAACGAACTATATGAAGCATGGAATTCAATCCCCCTAGAATAATGTATGAAATTGATTAAATCAATGCCATGTTGCAGTGCTATTATTGAAAACAATAAATAATAATATTAATTATAACTATTGGTAGGCTGTGGATAGTACCTATTTCGTAAATAACAATACTAATTACAAATACTTAAAAAAAAATTGTTTTTAAATGTTTGTCCATAATGTTATATTCAAACTGCACTTGTGTACTGGGACTTATATTGATTTTCTAATATATATAAATTGTTGAACATATTGTTGGCCTATTTATTATTTAATTTAAAAATAGAAAGCATTGCGGTGAAGTATCTTACATAATGACCATTGGTAGAGTTTTTTAATACAACCACCACTATAATTATATGCAAATTTCTCGAATAAAATCGGTTCAGTAGTTTTTAAAACATCGGAGCGTTTCTACATGCTTAAATTAATCATATCCTTAATATTTGCTCTTTTTCATTTAACAGGTATTTGTTGTCAATTTATGTTTTTTAAGTCGCTTTTTCCATAATTATATATCCAATGATTCAATTCTTACTTGCTGGCTGAAATTATGGTTGATGAAGGTAGCCTCTAAAGCCAAGTTACGGGGAGAGTTAATGGAAGTCCCATCATCTGCAGGAGGTTCCACAGATGTCTCGTTGACAGTTAGCAAATCAAACTCAGTGTTGTCACGTTTGTCCAAGAACAACTTATCACCTGTAAAATGCATATGTTTATCACATATAAATATATATTGTAGTGTCACATTACTTAAAAAGTATGGTAATAGGTCAGTTTTTTGTTTTGCTCCCAAGCATAATAAAACATTAAATTGACTTTAATTGAACATAATAGCATAAATATCCTTTCTAAGTGGATTTTTTTCTTGCAATAGTGTTAGCAAAGTTGAGTTAGCCATAACTCTTTGCTATATATATCACAAGAGCAGAAATATGATGTGTCTTGCTTATGATCAAATTAATATGTATATATAACCTTGTTTCA